GAGAGAGAGATCCTGGGATTTGCAGACCGCTTTATCCCAGGACTGGCCTTGCAGAGGTGCTGAGATCAGCCCTGCTGAGTGAGGGATTTTCACCTGCTGACGGGGAGTCTTTCCTCTCTAGATCATCCAAAAAGCCCTTGTGGAAGAGAGAAAATAGCGTATCTGAGACAAGACTCAAATGAAGGAGCTGCTTCTTCTTTACTCTTCATTCCATCTTCCAAAATACGTTCTCCTTCTGGCACACTGCTCAAAATGGGTGAAATAATCAAATTGGTTAATTCCCATTTTAAAAAGCATGCTTTCAAACCGGCGCAAAGAATGGCAAGAACACTGGATTAAAAAAAAAAAAACAATGTAAAACAGAGTTAGGGGGGGTCTTATGGGAAACAGAAGGAGACCATTTTTCCTAGGCAGCAAAAGGAGGGAAAGAAAGGGAGCAAATGGATCAGTCTCTAAGGAAGGATTTGGCCCGAAGGCTTTGAATTAAAGTGGTTGGGAGTCTCCTGGCCTTTCTCCACCTTTGATTTCAGTGCCCAGGGGAGACGCCCAAATGGGAAGCATCCAGAATCTGCTATGCAAAAATGTAACAGAATAATGCTGATGGAAGGGACCTTGGAGGTCCTCTAGTCCAGCCCCCTGCCCGTGCAGGAGACCCTATACCACTTCAGACAAATGGCTGTCCAGTCTCTTCTTAAAAGCCTCCAGTAATGAAGCGATCACAACTTCCTGAGGCAAGCAGTTCCACTGATTAATTGTTCTCACTGTTAGGAAATTACTCCTTCAATCCAGATCTTCCATCCGTTGCTTCTCGTCCTGCCTTCAGGGGCTTTGGAGAATAGCTTGACTCCCTCTTCTTTGGGGCAGCCCCTCAAATATTGGAAGACTGCTATTCTGTCCCCCCTCGTCCTTCTCTTTGTTAAACTAGACTTACCCAATTCCAGCAACCGTTCTTTGTATCTTTTAGCCTCCAGTCCCCTGATCATCTTTGTTGCTCTTCTCTGCTCTCTTTCCAGAGTCTCAACTTCTTTTTTACATCGTGGTGACCAAAATTGGATGTAGTGTCCCAAGTGTGGCCTTACCAAGGCCTTGTAAAGTGCTATTAAAACTTCAGGTGATCTTGATTCTGTCCCTCCGTTAATGCAGCCTGGGACTCTTAGGGAGATTGGAGTCCAGTGGGGCTGACCCCCTAGTTCCCTTCTCTACTTTATGGGGGACAAAGTTGTCTGCTAGGCTCATCAGGAGCCTGCTGGATCTCCCACTAGGCGCAAAAAACTGTCTCCCAGTTGATGTCAGGGTGGTCAAAGTCCCCCATTGCTATTTTGCTCTGCTTTCTCCATGCCTTAGCTCACTGATTAAGAAAAAGTTCATCTATTTCCTCTGTTGGGTTGGGGGGCTTTATAGTACACACCAATGGTGATGTCGTTCTGTTTTCCCTTTTTTAACCCAAATGCTTTCAAGGAGATTTTTGTCTTTGTTCTGCAGCATTTCTGTAGCTATTTCTTATATATAGTGCAGCTCCACCTTTTATTAAGTCTGTTTCTTTTCAACACTTTAAATATTAAGATACTAAATTTAGTAGATGGAACAGTAAAGTGGACAATGGGCCGGGACACAGAGTTGCAGTTGATTGGTTGGAGAGTGCTGGCTCCTGTATGAGGTTATCTACCCTATGATTGGTTGCTGTGGGTGTAAAGGGGGTGTTTCCCCCCTTTCCCCCGCCCTTTTCTTCTGTGTGCTCCGTCTGCTGATTGGTTTATCTCACGATGTTTCTGTGTTCCTGATTATCTTTTCTGCTGTGAATATAAATGCTAAATAGATTTATATAACACTACAGGTTTGTGTCATTTGGACAGCTGCTGTGCAATACAGATGTTATACTTATGGATGTAAAACTACAAGTTTGTGTCATTGTCTCCCACTTCACTTGAACAGCTGCTGCGCAATTCCTCGACATTAAATCTCTTAAGTTGTGCCTTCCAGTTGTGGGTTTCATCCCACTAAGTTTCAGTGATTGCAATGTCATACCTGCCTTTGGGTTTCAAGTTCTCCCTGGTTTACTCCTCGTACTTTGAGCATTGGTGTAGAAGCATCTGAGTCCCTTTTGACTGACCCTGTGTTTGGTTTCCACATCCCCTCTTTTTGTGTCTGAGTTCTCCTTTTTCCTTTCCATTTGGTTGATTGCCCACAGATTTGTGCTTGGAATTAGCTTCTAAAAAATCCATCTCTCTCCTCCTTTGGTTTCAGTTTAAGACCCTTCAGATAGGACAAGCCAGTTGGCTTCCAAAGACGACATTCTCAGTTCTTATGAAGTGTAGCTCATCCCCTGCCAGAAGCCCCTCATGTGGGTATTGTAGACCATAGTCCAAGAATAAAAAGTTCTCTCGACAGAACCATCCTCTAAGCCAGGAGTTGACTTCAAAGGCTGTGCGTATCCTCATTGGATGTTGACCTTTATTGGGAGTACAGAAGGAAACACCACCTGTGCTCCCATCTCTTTGGCTTTGATGCCTACCTGCTCATAATCTCTTGATATTGTTTCCAGGGATTTTGTGTATCATTCATCCCCACATGAAAGAGGAGAAAGGAATAATAATCTATGGATTATTTTTAGTAAGCCTCTCACTCACATCTTTGATAGTTGTTCCTGGGAAACAACTAACTGCTAGTCTGACTGTCCATTCTACAAATTGCTAGTTCAGTTCCTCTGACCAATAAAAATCACCAACACAGGTCTTTGTTTATCTTAAGGAAGTCTGGTCTGATTTTCTTTCTGCAATTGGTACATTTGGTGTTGTCCCTTTTCCAGGTGCTAAGAGGTCTCTTCCAAGGGGGGGGGGTATTACTGATAGGAGCCCAAGTCTTCTCTGTGTTTGAGACAGTTCCTCCAACGACCTATTCTTTATGTGCCCCAGATGAGGAGTGGGAGGGAAAAAAAATCTGCCCTTAGAGATCAAAGTCTTTATGTGCCCCAGATGAGGAATGGGAGGGAGACAAAATCAGCCCTTGGAGATCGAAGCCACGGGAATCCTGCAGAAGCAGTCTGGATGACTTCTGGAGGGGGCAAGGCTCAGTGGGAGAGCTATCTAGGGGCATCTAGGGGTGCTGGGGAGAAGGGAGGGGTCTTCCACTCAGAGTTGCCCCCTTGATCTTTCCTCTCTCCTGCAGAACTGCTCTCCCTCCCCCCTGATGGCAAATGTCTCCTACACCAGGAATGGCTTCAGCTGGACTTTCTGCTCTGGCCCCAAGAGACCCTGGGGAAGACACCCTTCCCAACACCCCCTGCCCAGGAGCCCTCAGACCAGGGAGATGGACATCAGGGCGACCTTCCCAGAGATCAAGGCCATTGCCCACAGGACTACTCAGGGCCTTTTCTGAGGGGGGGTCTCATATGAGCTCCAGTTGGGGGCCAAACGTGAGACTCTCACAGGACTCTCTCTGTTGGGGACCATCGGGTCAGGATGGGGTCGTCCACCCAGGACATGAAGCAGGAGGACCCTCAAACTGTGCAGGTGACACTGCTCTAGGGGTCTCCTCTGCCCAGAGGGATGGGGCTTCAGACCCAAAGGAAGCAGGGGCTGTGGAGTGGCAGTGGTGATAGGTGGGCAGTCCTGGAAAAGGCCTCATGTGGAGGGAGGGAGGCGTTGGGTGCTAAAATGGGGTAGGACCCTCCAGTTGTGAAGGAGAGAAATGGCACAAATGGCTGGGTGAGTGCAGGGGGAGTCTCAGGTGTCCCCCAATGGCTCCCTACAAGTGCTTGAAGGGGACCATGCCTCCTGGCATCTTGGTCCTCAAAAGTAGGCTTGAGGGGAAGCAGAGCAAGGGGGCCCCCAAGAAGGAAGGGAGTCCTGCCCTTTCCCCTCCTTGGATCTGCCAAACCTCCTCCCAAACCAGTTTTGACTTCGGACCTGAAGTAGCTGGGATGGTTGATCCAGAGGCAGGGGAGGTGTCAATCTGGGGAGGGGAAGGGGAGAAGCAACAACGCTTCTGCGGGGAAGAGGGAGGAAAGAGGAGGAGGAAGAGGAAGGAGGAATTCCAGGATTTTTCCTACAATGTTTATTCTTTTATAGCAAAATGAAAGGAAGGGATTCGGATGAAGAGTAATGAAGATGAAGCTGCTGTGGATTTAAAGCCGGGAGAGATTTGGGTGTCTGGACTCACAGGTAGTTCCAGAGTCCCAGGGGTCAGTATAGATGGACTCCACCGCTCCCTCACAAGAAAGCCAGAGTGGTCTCAGCAGGAAAAGCTCCAGGCTGCCATTCTCCTCCTCCCCCCAATCTAAAATCTTGACCCTTCATTTTTCAGAGGTTGCAAAAGAGAGACAGACATTCATCAGCTAATGGAAAAAAGCCCCTTCCTTTCCCACAAGGAAGCAGGAAGGACGGCAGAATTAATTCATGAGTGCTGTAGAAAAAAAGAAATGGGGAGAAATTTAGAAAATAAAGAGAAACCAGTGTAAATAGCTTATTATTCCTCTCTTTCAGCCACCCCCAGACAGGCCCACATTGCAGGGGGGTGGTTGATGGGTAGGAACAAAGTGAGGGAGTTTCTCCCCCCCCTTTTTTTCAGAGAGGAAAAGGATGCAAAGGACCAGCAATTCATCTCCAGAGGCTTATGGAATTTTCCCCAATTGACTTAACTGGGGACTTAATCAACAAAGGAGGCCTCCCCCCCCTAGACATTTCATATTAACAGAGAAGATGGGGCCAGAATGGGGAATAGTAGCAAAGCTGGGTGTCGCTTTGCCAGAAATTGTGTGCAATGTCACAAGGAGACTTCCCTTCTCTTTTGCAATTTCCCAAAACCTGGAAATCTCCTGGGCCAGATTTTAGTGTTTATGTGTGTGTGTTTGTTTTTGATTGCACTGTTTTCAGGTCTCTGAAATGAAAAGCTCCCCAAAAGTTCAAAAATTTGTGTTATCCACAGCTAGGAGGTTTTGTTTGGGCACATTTTTCTTTTAAAGGATCAATTAATGAATATTAAAGAAACATCTATAACTTGACCTGCAGGAGGCTGGATGGGAATTGCTGGAATGAGAAAAAGACTCAATCAGGACCCTTCGTGGGATGGAGGACCCGGTGGGGGGCTCCCTATCGATAGCCCATAATAGGTTGCAGGATGCTCACTTATACAATAGACCCTCAAAGAACAGAATTTCCCAAGCAAATTTCCAGGGGGGCCTCGTTGCCATCTGCTAAGCTTGCTGAGAGGCCTCCCCTGGATGGTCCCCTCCCCCACAATCTCTTATCCAGCCCCCAGACTCACCTTTCTTGCTCTTCAGGTGGAGGGAGAGCCCCATGGCAAAGAAGATCACCCCGATCACGGCTGCCACGATCCCCGTCCAGAGTTTGCTCCTGGCCGAGTTGGAGGAACGGGGCTCTGGGGAAGGAGAAGGAGCCTCCCCTGAGCAGGAACATCAGGGCCAGATTCCCCCCCAGGAGGGTCCATCCCAGCTCCCCCCACAAGGAGGGTCCTCTTTCTCAGGGCAGGAGGGGGTCCCCAGAGGGGGAGGGGCTCACCCCACTGGACGGTGATGGGGGCTTCCAGGCTGGCATGCTCCACCTGGCAGGTGTAGACGTCTCCCCGCTGGGGCTGGGTCTCCAGCATCACCTGGAGCTGGTAGGTCCAGTCTCCATTTTGGAGCTCTTCCCCGAAGGCCACGCCCTCCTCCTCCGGCCGCCCGTTCTTCAGCCACCGGATCTCAATCTCCATGGGGTAGAAGCCCCTCGCGATGCAGAGGAGGATGGTGTTAGGGGAAGTGGGATCCAGCTTGGTGGGGGAGATGGAGACGGTGGGCTTGGCTGGAGGGGAGGAGTGGGAGGGGGAGAAGGGGCATGGGGGGGAGACACAGGAGGGGCCAGAACAGGAGACCAGGTTGGTTAGTTCAGGCCAAGAGCCCTTTTCAGTTTTAAAAACATTATTTGTTTTAAGTCATTTCCAAAGCAAATTGCAGCAAGAAATTAAACGGGATCCTGAAAGATGGAAAAACATAAATCGTTCCTGGTTGGGATCAGTTTCCATCATCAAATTGCACAAGTCCAACAGGAATAAATACTGGAAACTCTCCAGGGCAGAAGGAATTTCCTGCCAGATTTGGGGGAGACAGAAAGAGACCCAGAAGACGGGGAAGACACACAGCATGTTTTGGACAATTGCAGGGATCCCATTCAAAAGAAAACCACATTTTTAAAAAATAGATATAATACCGGAACATTTATTTATTTATTAAATTTATTTGCCACCATCTCATGATAAAATGACTCTAGGCAGCTTACAGTAGCGCTTTTCAACTGGTGGTATGTGTACCACCTGTGGTACATGAGCACATGGCAGATGGTATGCTGCCCTGCCCAGCCAAATGTAGTAGGGGAGGGAACGAGCCAGCGCAGGCAAGGACTTACTGTGAGAGAGTCGTCTGGAGCTGCAGACTGGCTGGGACGAGGCAAAGGCCCCAGGCTCATTTCCGGCTCACCCCCTCTCCCATGAGAACGGAGGAGGAGGGGGTGGAGACAGGAGAAGCTATAAAAGGAGGCAGTTTGGGTCGGGAGAAGGAGAGAGAGAAAAAGAAGCAGCCTTGGGAGGAGGAGGAGTCAGCTCTCTCCACAGAATGGAAAGAAGGAGGAGGAGGGTGGGGAGAGAGGAGAGGAGATCAAGCAGGCTGGCCACAAGTGGATCTACAACTTCTGTGGCAGCCACCTGTGCTGGCAGCAACCAAGAGGCAAGGAACGTAGGGAGGAGGGGTTGCCCTCCATGAGGAATGAAGAAAGGCAGCACCGGCTGGAGGTGAGGCAAGGAGGGAAATGGAGAGTGGAAGGATTCTTTTGTGACTTTGAAGTTCTGGGATTTGTACATTGGGGATTTTGTGTTCTTAAGGAGTGTTTGGCAATTTCTATTTGGCTGATGGCTGATGTCTCATGTTAGCTTCTACTGCTCTGCTATTGTTAGCTGTAAGTTTTGCTGCAAGGAATTTTGAAGTATTTTTCTCCTGAATGGATTTTGCCTGTAGCATTCCTTTACTTAAGAATGGAGCCATTTGGGAAGGCTGCCTTAGCCAGCAGCCATACTTACTACATTTTTTTTCTTCCTTAAGTGTGCACTGCGCTCCTTAACTTTCCTTTCTAGCCAGTAGCTAATTCTTAAAGGGGAATGCGCCTTTTTATGCTAGTTCCCTCAATGGCTTGTCTTTTCTGTCTCTGGAGACTTTTCCTTGTTCAGTGAATATATGGAAGAAGGGAAATGGGGGGGGGGTCAAATTCTTCCTTCAGAAGGAGATAAGAATGAGAAAGAGGGAAGTAGCGAAGGAGAGAGGGAGGGAAGGAAGTCCCGCCTTAGCACTTGGCCACCTGCCAATGACTTTGCTTGTCAAAAGGTTGCAGAAGGGGATCACATGACCCTGCCTTTTAAATCTTAAATTGTATAGACTATTTTGGTGGTTTTATATTTTATGTGTATACACGCAAAGTTCCTCTGAGAGAGAAAGAGATGGTTTTAAAAGTTGATAAGTAAATCAATAAAGAAATATTATTGATTTATTAATATAAAATATTATATTGAAATGTTATATGGGATATAGATTATATTGAAATATATCTATATCCTGGGCAAAGGAGAGACCTTGCTGGATTCCTTCTCCCCCCCCCCCGAGAAAAATATATTTGGTATAATATTCTGGAAAGAAGTTTTTCGGGCAGGGGAATCTTTAGATCTTGGGAAGAGAAGGAAGATGATGGGACCGATAGGAACGAGAGGAATCTGTTTCTTCCCTTTGGCATGTTTCATGGTCATCCTTGTAGAATTTCAAACTTTTTAACAGAAATTTATTTTTAAACTTATTTTTTATACCTTTTTATTTATTTATTTTTTATTTAGGGGTGATGTTATATCCTACCCTATCCAGAGGTCCACTTTGAGGTGGGTGAAGGGATTAGGAGTCTCAATAAATAGCAATAAATACCAATGAATAAATTTCATAGATCGGAGGGCATAGAATACATCAGGGGCAAATCTTTCTCCGGGAGAGTCCTAAGACATGAAATGAAAAGGGGGGTGTCCTGGCATCCCCCTCCCCCACTCACCTCTCCGGCCAATCAAGGGGCCGCCCTGGAGAGCCTCGTAGTTGCTTCGGCAGAAGCGATTCACTCTGGCCTTCCAGTACTGGAGGAGGCGCTTATCCCTGTTGAAAGCCTCCGCATCCACCTCCCCCAGCGCCGTGACGGCCTCGAACTCCCCGCGGGCGCTGTCGAAGCGGAGATACTCCTGTCGGTCATAGATGTACCTGTTCAGGAGCCTCACCCACCGCGTCCCATTGAGGAAGCAGCACTCGGCCTTCGCCTGGTACAGGAAATGGGCTGCGGAGAGGAAGAAGAGGGTCAGGAGGGACTCCAGGGCCCATGGTTCCCAGCCTCTCCTCGAGGAGGGACACAGGCTTGTCAGAGGAGGGGAGACCTGCCGCAAGAGACTGCCAGAAGGCGCCACCTGGAGGAGGGATGGGGAACTGTCGGTCCCAGCGGGATTCCCTGTTAGTGGGGGTCGGGGGAGGGGAGGAAAATGAGGAAGGGGGGGAAAGAGGTTTCTGAGGGACCGCCTCCTTCTCCCGAGGGTGGAGAAAGGCAGACAGAAGTTCAGCTGGTCCAGCACTCGGCCTAACTCTGCAGGGAACGCTGGATCCAGGTGGGGCTTCTTTTGTTGTTGTTAATTGCGAAGTCGTGTCCGACCCATCGCGACCCCATGGACAACGTTCCTCCAGGTCTTCCTGTCCTCTACCATCTTCTGGAGTCCATTTAAGTTCACACCTACTGCTTCAGTGACTCCATCCAGGCATCTCATTCTCTGTTGTCCCCTTCTTCTCTTGCCCTCCATCTTTTCCAGCATTAGGCCCTTCTCCAGTGAGTCCTTCCTTCTCATTAGGTGGCCAAAGTATTTGAGTTTCAACTTCAGGATCTGGCCTTCTAAAGAGTAGTCAGGGTTGATCTCTTCTAGGACTGACCGGTTTGAACGCCTTGCAGTCCAAGGGACTCGCAGGAGTCTTCTCCAGCACCATAGTTCAAAGGCCTCAATTCTTTGGCGCTCAGCCTTTCTTATGGTCCAACTTTCACAGCCATACATTGCAACTGGGAAAACCATGGCCTGGACTATACGCACTTTTGTTGGCAGGGTGATGTCTCTGCTTTTTAGAATGCTGTCTAGATTTGCCATAGCTTTCCTCCCCAGGAGCAAGCGTCTTTTAATTTCTTGGCTGCAGTCCCCATCTGAGGTGATCTTGGAGCCCAGAAAAATAAAATCTGTCACTACCTCCATTTCTTCCCCATCTATTTGCCAGAAATTGAGAGGGCCAAAAGCCATGATTTTGGTTTTCTTAATGTTGAGTTTCAAGCCAACTTTTGCACTCTCCTTCTTCACCCACATCAAGAGGCTCCTTAGTTCCTCTTCACTTTCTGCCCTTAGAGTGGTATCATCTGCATATCTTAGGTTGTTGATATGTCTCCCAGCAATCTTAATTCCAACTTTTGATTCATCTAGCCCTGCCTTTCTCATGATGTGCTCTGCATATAAGTTAAATAGGCAGGGCGACAGTATACAGCCTTGCCGGACTCCTTTTCCAATTTTGAACCAATCAGTGGTTCCGTGTTCGGTTCTCACTGTTGCTTCTTGACCCACATATAGGTTTCTCAAGAGACAAATGAGATGGTCTGGTACTCCCATCTCTTTAAGGACTTGCCACAGTTTGTTGTGATCCACACAATCAAAGGCTTTTGCATAGTCAATGAAGCAGAAGTAGATGTTTTTCTGGAACTCCCTAGCTTTCTCCATGATCCAGCGTATGTTGGCAATTTGATCTCTAGTTCCTCTGCCTCTTCGAAATCCTGCCTGTACTTCTGGCAGTTCTCGATCCACATACTGCTGGAGTCTAGCTTGTAGGATTTTAAGCATAACTTTACTAGCATGTGAAATGAGTGCAATGGTGCGGTAGTTTGAACATTCTTTGACATTGCCTTTCTTTGGAATTGGAATGTAAACTGACCTTTTCAAATCCTGTGGCCACTGTTGAGTTTTCCAAATTTGCTGGCAAATTGAGTGTAGCACTTTTACTGCATCGTCTTTTAAGATTTTGAATAGCTCAGCTGGAATACTGTCACCTCCACTAGCTTTGTTGTTGCTCAGATTTTCTAAGGCCCATTTCACTTCACATTCTAGGATGTCTGGTTCGAGGTCAGTGACCATCTCATTGTGGTTATCTGGGATGTTAAGCTCATTCTTGTATAGTTCTTCTGTGTAGTTTTGCCATCTCTTCTTAATCTCTTCTGCCTCTGTTAGGTCCCTGCCATTTTGGTCCTTTATCATGCCCATCTTTGCATGAAACGTTCCCTTCATATCACCAATTTTCTTGAAGAGATCTCTGGTCCTCCCTATTCTGTTGTTTTCTTCTATTTCTTTGCACTGTTCATTTAAGAAGGCATTCTTATCTCTTCTAGCTACTCTCTGGAATTCTGCATTCAATTGGGTGTATCTTTCTCTTTCTCCTTTGCCTTTCGCTTCCCTTCTTTCCTCAGCTATTTGCAAAGCTTCCTCAGACAGCCATTTTGCTTTCTTGCATTTCTTTTTCTTTGGGATGGTTTTAGTTGCTACCTCTTGTACAATGTTGCGAACTTCCATCCATAGTTCTTCAGGCACTCTGTCTATCAGATCTAATTCCTTAAATCTATTTGTCACCTCTACTGTATATTCATCAGGAATATGATTTAGTTCATACCTGAGTGGCCTAGTGCTTTTCCCTACTTTTTTCAATTTAAGCCTAAATTTTGCAACGAGAAGCTCATGATCTGAGCCACAGTCAGCTCCTGGTCTTGTTTTTACTGACTGTATAGAGCTTCTCCATCTTTGGCTGCAGAGCACATAGTCAATCTGATTTCTATGTTGACCGTCTGGTGATGTCCATGTAGAGCCGTCTCTTGGGTTGTTGGAAACGAGTGTTTGTTATGACCATCGTATTCTCTTGACAAAATTCTATCAGCCTGTGCCCTCTTCATTTTCTACTCCAAGGCCAAACTTGCCTGTTATTCCGGTTATCTTTTGGCTTCCTACCTTAGCATTCCAATCCCCCATGATGATAAGGACATCATTTTTTGGTGTTAATTCTATAAGATGCTGTAGGGCTTCATAGAACCGGTCAATTTCATCCTCTTCAGCACCAGTGGTTGGGGCATAGATTTGGACTATTGTGATATTGAATGGTTTGCCTTGGATTCGAATTGAGATCATTCTGTCATTTTGGGGATTGTATCCCAGTATTGCTTTTCCTATTCTTTTATTGACTATGAAGGCTACTCCATTTCTTCTGAGGGATTCTTGCCCACAGTAGTATACCTGATGGTCATCTGAGTTAAATTCACCCATTCCTGTCCATTTTAGTTTGCTGATTCCTAAGATGTCGATGTTCAGTCTTGTCATCTCTTTTTTGACTACGTCTAGCTTGCCTTGATTCATGGATCTTACATTCCAGGTTCCTATGGAGAAAAAATCTTTACAGCATCGGACTTTCCTTTCACCACCAGATATATCCACAGCTGAGCGTCCTTTCGGCTTTGGCCCAGTCGCTTCATTCTTTCTGGCGCTACTAGTACTAGCCCTCTGCTCTTCCCCAGGAGCATATTGGACACCTGAGGGGCTCATCTTCCGGCGTCATATCTTTTTGCCTTTTAGTACTGTCCATGGGGTTTTCATGGCAAAGATACTGGAGTGGTTTGCCATTTCCTTCTCCAGTGGATCACATTTTGTCAGAACTCTCTGCTATAACCTGTCCGTCTTGGGTGGCCCTGCATGGCATAGCTTATAGCTTCATTGAGTTACGCAAGCCCCTTCGCCACGACAAGGCAGTAATCCATAAAGGGGGGCTTCTTTGCCCCCCCCAAAAGGCAGGAAATATGCAGGGAGGGAAGAGACCCCCCAGGAACTCTCTGGGCTGCAGGGAAATAAGATCCTCTTCCTCTTCCTTTGGGGGAGCATATGGGGGGGGTCACAGTAAGGATACCTGCACCCATGCTGCTGGGCTTTAAGCCCCACCTTCCGTTTTCCTCTTCCCCTCTAACCTTCAGCCCTTCAGCCAAAAATCACCTTTGGGTGATTTTTGAGGCCTTTTCTGTCCCACTCCCCAAAAGACCCCCCCTGCAGCCCCCTAAGACCACCTCAAAGGGAGGGGCTCCAGCCCTCCTCACTAAAGGGACAGTTTTGGGGAGCCAATTTAGGGGAGCAATTCAGACCCCCCCCCAATATCCTTCTCCCTCAGTTCCCCCCTCCCCTCCAGCTCCCGATTCAGCAATGGGGAATATGGGGTGGGGGTTCCGGGTCTCCTCCCAAATTCAGAGTCTCCCCCAAGAAGGAATCCAGCTCAACTGTTCCCTCCCCCTAAAAAAAATGGAGATTCAGAAGAAAAACTGAGGTTGCAAAAAGACTTTTGCCAAAAAACGTCTTTTTTTATATACATTTGGTTGCCTTTGTGGAGTCAGGTGTGAAAATGCCTCAGTTTCCCTCTTTCGCTTTCGCTTTCCGTCTCCTTCCTCTTTCGTTGCAAGAAACTTCGGGCTCAGGCGCTAATTCGGGGTCTGCAAGGTCCCCCAACAGCCAACCACGGGGGGGGGGAGAGAGGGGTCCAGACGCCTCTTATCCCACCTCGGCTGCCTTTCCGCGACTCGGACGCAACCAGGAAAGGGGGGGCTCCCTCTTTGTTCTGCGCGGGGGGGGGAAATGCTGCGAGGGAGGGGCGGAGACCACGCGGAGATCGAGGCTCCTGCAGGCTCCCGTCTCTCTTGCCCTCCACCCCTTTTCCCACTACTGGGGTCCCCGTCCCTCTCCTCCCCCCGCCCACCCCCTCCTTACCGGGGGTCTCCTTCCCCCCTTCGCTTCCGGGGATCCGGGCCAGCGCCCACACCAGCAGCAGCAGCGTCAGGGGGAGCCCCGCGGAGCCCATGGACGCCGCCCCGCAAGCGCCCCCAGAGAGAGGGGAGAGAGACCCGGAGGCTCCCAGCCCCAGAGGCAGAATCGGGGGGAGGGGGCGTTTTCCTCGAACTTCGGAACTGGGAGGGCCCAGAAAAGCGGACGGACCAATGGGATTTCTCCCTTCTGCAGCGTCATCGGTCTCCGGGCAGAGCCTCCCTTGACTTCACCCGATAGAGGAGATAGTTCGGCGCAGAGAGAGAAGCAGAGAAAGTGGGTGAAAATCCCTTCAGTCGGGGGGGGCGCAGCTCAAGGGGGGGCTTCAGACCAGCCCTGCAGGGGAGCGTGCACTTCCTTTTGCCCTCCCCCCACTTTGGTCCTGCCTAGAAGGGCCGGGGGGCTGCAGGGGAGGGCAGAAGGGGAGGGGCAGCCCCGCAGCCACCGAGGACTTGGGGGTCCCTGAGGCGGCTGACTGGGCGCCTTCACACACGGAGACACGCGTTTCCTGGCCCCCCGTGAAGAAGGAGGCCAAATCCCCGTCCTGGGGGGGACTGGCTCTCCCCCCTTCCTGGGGTCAGTCCCCTCCCCCCCCCACTGAAAGCCTCTGCTTGGACCCTTCCCCTTCCCGGCAAAGGGGCTGCCGGAGGGGGGGAGGTTTTGCCCCCAGCGCTGGGGGGGGGGGATTTTAACCCCTTGAAATAGGTCGGATTTGGTTGAAGAGGGGCGGGTGTTGATCTCAAGGGGGGGATCAGAGGGGGGAAAGCGACAATCCTTCCTTCCTCCCTCCCTCCCTCTTTCCTTCCTTCCTTCCTTCCTCCCTCCCTCCCTCTTTCCTTCCTTCCTTCCTTCCTCCCTCCCTCCCTCTTTCCTTCCTTCCTTCCTCCCTCCCTCCCTCCCTTCCTTCCTTCTTTCCTCCCTCCCTCCCTCCCTCCCTCCCTCCCTCCCTCTTTCCCTCCTTTCTCCCTCCCTCCCTCCCTCCTTTCCTTCCTTCCTCCCTCCTTTCTCCTCCCTCCCTTCCTCCTTCCTCTTTCCCTCCCTCCCTCCCTTCCTTCCTTTTTTCTCCCTCCCTCCCTCCCTCCCTCCCTCCCTCCCGTCCCTCCCTCCCTCCCTTCCCATCTTTCCCTCCCTCCCTCCCTTCCTTCCTTTTTTCTCTCCCTCCCTCCCTCCCTTCTTTCTCTCTCCTCCGGGTGCAGTTTGTGCTCTGACTGGACCTGGATGGAAAGGAAAAGGCCTCCCTGGCGCAGAGCGGCCGTTCCGATCCCTTCCATACTGCGACCCTCGCTCTGGAGGGGAGGAGGGGGAGGGAAACCCTCCATATCCCGAGGGGAACTTTTTTCCCAGGAGGGGGGAGGCAAGAAATGGCGACCCCCTCTTGAAAACAATTCCCTCGGGGAGAGCAGCCTCAGGGGGCGCCCTGCATATCGCGGGGGTGTCACTGAAGGCCAGGCAGCTGTCTCGGGGGAGGGGTCCGCTTCAATCGGGATCCCCGCCCCGAATGGGGGGGACTGGGACCCCGCAACTGCCAGAGAGACTCCTTAGGACACTCAAGACTATGAAGAACTAGATTCTCCCCTAAGAAAACCCCACCTCGGCTGTCTTCCGCGACCCCCCCCCCCGGCCATAACCAGGCAAGAGAGGGGTCTCTCTCTGTCCTCCTGGGGGGGATGTGGGGAGGGAGGGAGGCCCTGCAGGGTCTCTTGCCCTCGACCCTTTTCCTTAAGACACGAAGCCATTTCTTCCCCCCTCCCCCAGGAGCACTGAGGATTCCTCGGAGCCCCTCACCTCCTCCCGCCCAGCTACTCCTTAGTGGGGTTTCCCCCCCCTTCGCTTCCAGGGTTGTGGCCCAGCGCCTCCCCTCCCGCCTCCCCTCCAGGATCAGAGAGACCCCAGCAGAGCCCAGGGACGCCCCCAGCCCCAGAGGCGGAATGGGGGGGAGGATCTGGAGGGTGGGGGCGGGGGAGGCGTTTTCCTCGGACGTCAGAACTGGAAATGCCCTGACGGAGAGGAACCAATGGGAATTCTCCCTCCTGCAGCGTCATCGGTCTCCGGGCAGAGTCCTTTGTGACTTCACCCACCGGCAGACAAAGCGAAGGCGATCCAGGGAGGGACGTCTCCCCCCCCATCCCCAGGGAGGCCGCCCTGCTCTCCGCCCTCCCCGGCCCTGGCTCCTTTTGGGGGGGGGGAGATGGACGTGGGGGGAGTTCGTCTGAAGGGGGGAGATGAGGGGATCAGGGCCCCGAAGAGGGAGGGAGGGAGGGAGGGTGGGAGGGAGGGGGCGCTGGGTGCGAGGGGGCAGGAGCCACCGTGGTTTGTGAGGGGGCTCAAAGGGGCTCCGATCCTGGAGAAAGAGGTCCGGATGAAGCCAGGAGAACCTCCAGCTCCAGCAGCTTCCCAGCCACGGAAGAGGCTCTCCGGGGGAAGCAGGAATTGGGGGTCTCCCAGGGGTCCCCTCCCTCTGGCAGGGCTTGGGGAAATTGAGGAGGAGGGGGGGTCCTGCCCCTTCACCTCCCTGGGATCTGCCCACCCTCCTCCCGAACCGCTTCTGGGTTAGGCCTGAACTAGCCTGGATGGTCAATCCGGAGACAGCGGAGGCCTCAATTTGGGGAGGGGGAGGGGAGAAGGGAGGACTCTCTTATGGGGGGCAGGAAAGGGGAGGAGGAAGAGGAAGGAAGGAGGAATTCCAGGATTACTGAAGTCCACAGAATTTCTATTAAAATTCCAGGTTATAATTAGGTGTTATAAATTTATTTTATTTAATATACGCTGCATCCTTCCATCCTTCTTAAAATAATATTGAGATATTCTAGAAGAAAGAAAATCTGCTCAGATCCTCTTATACACCCTGTCCATGGATATGCATCTATTTTTTCTTTTTTTTTTCTTTTTTCTTTTCTTTCAGGGCTGATTTCTCTCCCCATAAAATCCCCCCCAAAAGACCTCCCCCCCCCCGTTCTCCGCTTCTAGCTCTGCGCCGGACGGCCTCTTCCATCGGGTGAAGTCGAGAGAGACTCTGCCCGAAGACCGATGACGCTCCAGAAGGGAAAATTCCCATTGGTCCTTTCGGATTTCTGGGCCTTCCCAAAACTGACTGAGAGAAAAAATGCCCCCCCCCCCCAATCCAGGCCCACCGATTCCGCCTCTGGGGCTGGGAGCATCCGTGGGCTTGGCTGGGCTCCCCCTGCTGTTCCTGGTGGGGGCGCTGGCCTGGGTCACTGGAAGGGAGGGGGGCAAGGAACCCCCCCTGGTAAGGAGGGGGGAGGGCAGGGGGGAGGCTGGGAGGGACCCCGATGCTTGTGGGGAAGGAGCAGAAAGGGGGTGGGACCCCCAAGAGAGGCTTTGGGAAAGGGGAAATTCCCCCCAGGAAGGGGGGGGCTGGTGAGAGGATCCGGCTGGACCAGGAGGGATCCCTGCAGATTCCCTCTTTCCTGGTTTAGCTGAGGGTTTTCCGCAGCTTGCCTTTGGGTTGGGGGGTTTGTCTGTGACCCCCCCAAATCCTGGCTGGGTGTGGGGCTGCCCCTCCCTTCTTGTCATCCAATGCAGCTGCTGGGAGCTTCCTGTTTCCATATTGGGGGGGGGGGTGGAGGAGCCCAGAAGAGCCCCTCAAGCTTGGCAGCTCCAGCCTGGGTTCCCCTGGGCCCTGTGGGAACTAAAAGGGCATCTAGTCCACCCCTCCAGTCCAGGGCCACAAAGAAAACAGAATAGAATGGAACAGAATAGAATAGAATAGAATAGAATAGAATAGAATAGAATAGAATAGAATAGAAGCTGGAAGGGACCTTAGAGGTCTTCTAGTCCAGCCCCCTGCTCAAGCAGGAGAACCCATCGTACCATCCCAGACAAGTGACTGTCTCGTGGTCCAGGCTCTTCTTAAAAGTCTCCAGTGATGGAGCGCCCACGATTTCTGGAGGCAGGTTGTTCCATGGGTTAATTGTTCTCCCTGTTAGGAATTTCCTCCTTCATTCCAGGTTGCTTCTCTCTTTGATCAGTTTCCAACCTTTGTTCCTTTTTCCTTCCCTCTGGTGCTTTGGAGAGTAGCGTGACCCCCCCCTCTTCCTTGGGGCAGCCCCTCAAATTCTGGAATTCTGCTCTCATGTCGCCCCTCTTTCTTCTTTTCTTTCGACTGGCCAGACCCAAGAAAGGGAGGCTGTGTGAGAATCAGGCGGGGCCCCAAAGGAAGTGCACGCTCCCCTGCGGAGCTGTCATGAAATACTCTCCCCCCCCCCGAAGCTTCAGTCCCCCCCAGACTGAAAAGACCCCCCCCTGCAACTTTCTCCGCTTCTCTTTCTTCGCCGAACTCTCTCCTCCATCGGGCGAAGTCAAGGGAGGCTCTGCCCGGAGACTGATGACGCTGCACAAGGGAGAAATCCCATTGGTCCCTCCGCTCTCCTGGGCCCTCCCAGTTCCGAAGTTCGAGGGAAACGCCTCCTCCCCCCCTCCCCCCAGCCCAGACCCCCCGATTCCGCCTCTGGGGCTGGGAGCCTCCGCGTCTCTGTCTCTTCTCTCTCTGGGGCGCTGGTGGGGCGGCGTCCATGGGCTCCGCTGGGCTCCCCCTGATGCTGCTGCTGGTGGGGGCGCTGACCCGGATCCTCGGAAGCGAAGGGGGGAAGGAGACCCCCGGTAAGGAGGGGGCTCGACGAGGGAGGAGAGGGGCTGGGAGGGGCCGTCAGAGCCCCTGGGGGTGGGGGGAAGAAAGGGGCTGGGACCCCAGAAGTGGGGGGAAAGGGGTCGAGGGCAAGAGAGGCAGTAGGCTGCAGGAGCCTCGATCTCCGCGTGGTCTCCGCCCCTGCCTCGCCCCATTTTACCCCGCAGGACGGAGAGGGAGCCCCCTCCCCTCTTCCCTTGTTGTGGCCGAGGTGGGGCAGGGGTCGCGGGAAGGCAGCCCAGGTGGGATAAGAGGCAGCTGGGCCCCTCTCTCGCCCCTCCCCCCCGTGGCTGGGTGGGAGGGGGACCTTGCGGACCCCGAATTAGCGCCTGAGCCCCAAACTTTCTTGCACTGAAAGAGGAAGGAGACGGGAAGCGAAAGCGAAAGAGGGAAACTGAGGCATTTTCAGACCTGAATCCACAAAGGCCAGCAAAGAGTATAAGAAAAAAGACGCTTTTTGGCAAAAGTGTTTTTGTAACCACAGTTTTTCTTCTGAACCTCCATTTTTTTAAGGGGAGGGAAGAGTTGAGCTGGATTCCTTCTTGGGGGAGACTCTGAATTTGGGGAGGAGACCCAGAACCCCCCACCCCATATTCCCCATTGCTGAATCGGGACCTGGAGGGGAGGGGGGAACTGAGGGAGAAGGATATTGGGGAGTCTGAATTGCTCCCCTAAATTCTCTACTCTATCCCTTTAGTGAGGGGGGCTGGAGCCCCTCCCTTTGAGATGGTCTTGTGGGGCTCCAGGGTGACAAAATATAGGGCTGAACCCAGAAATCACGCAAAGGCAGCCAGTAGGAGTGAAGTTGATGGGAAAGAAAATTTGGGGGTAACTAGGGAATTTGTGGGTTCTCTTCTCCCCAAGATCCTCAGACCCCCAAGCCATCTAGGTCAAACTTGAGCAGCCCTCCCACAACAGAGTGGGGGGAGGGAAAGGACCCCCCATCTCCTGCCTACAACGGGGTCCTTTCAGCAGCCCCAGGAAGGCTCCCCACCCCTTTGCCCCCCCCAATTCAGGGGACCCTGAGAGCCCAGATAAACCCCTGGGGGTCCTCAAGGCCCTTCAGAGAACCAGGGACCGACTTTCAAAATGACCAAATGACCGCAAGGAATATCCGTCCTTCCACCCTCCACCATTCAGTCAGAACTGAAGAAGCTTCTGGGATGAGAAGCGAAACGTCTTCAAGGGAAGAACCAGGAAAGTCCAGCTGCCTTTTGGAGAAGCCTCTTTGGGCCAAGGGAGACCAGGGGGAGGGAGGGTCTCAGGAGAGACCCCCCCTGGCTCCCCTCGGCCCTTCCGAAGTCTCCACTGACCCAGCCTGGACTCCTCGTGGGGGAGGGCCTTAAGGGAGCTTAAAGGGGCATCTAGTCCACCCCTGCAGGCAGAAAGAGAAAGGGGGACTGTGGCTCAGATTCATGGGAGGGGGTGAAAAAGGAAGTCCACAACCCCCGCTGGACACCCCTCTAAAGCTGCAGCCCCCAAGACTGAAAATCTTCCCCTCCCTCACCTTCTCTGCCTCTATTGGGAGGGATATTGGGGGGGGGTCTGAGTTGCTCCTCCAAACTCCCCCTTTAGTGAAGGGGGCTGGAGCCCCTCCCTCTGAGGTGGTCTTGGGGGGCTGCAGGGGGGAGGGGGACAGAAATGAGGCCTGGAAAAGTACCCAAAGGCAGCTCGTAGGGCTGAAGATGGGGGGAGAGGGGGGAAAGGGGAAGGGCGGGGAGAGCCCAGGAGCATGGGTGTGGGTATCCTTATGGTGACCCCCTGCCCCTTCTCCTCCCAAAAGGGAGAGGGAGGGAGAAGCTTGGATATTATTTCCCCTCCAGCCCAGAGGGGGGTCTCTTCTCTTCCCCCCATATTTCCTGCCGCTTTGGGGGGGCAGACGGACGGAGGCCTGGACCGGCTGAACTTCTGCCTGCCTTTTTCCACCCTGGGGAGATGGAGGGGGGGTCCCTCTTTCCCCCTCCCTCATTTTCCTCCCCCCTCCAGACCCCCACCAAGGGGGAATCCGGCTGGGACCGACGGTTCCCCATCCCTCCTCCAGGGGGCGCCTTCCGGCAGTACCTCGCGGCAGGTCTCCCGTCGCTCCGCCCCTCCTGGGAACGATGGGTCCTGGAGTCCCTCCTGAGATCTTTCTCCTTTCTGCTCCACTCCCCCCCCTGCAGCCCATTTCCTGGCCCAGTGGAAGGGCGAGTGCCATTTCTCCAACGGGACGCGGCGGGTGCGACTCCTGCACCGGTATATCTACGACCGGCAGGAAATCGCCCGCTTCGACAGCGACCTCGGGAAATACGTGGCCGTCACTCCGTTGGGGCAGCCCGCTGTGGACCAGTGGAACAGCGATAAGCGCATCCTGCAGTACCTGAGGGCCGCCGTGGATGCCTTCTGCCGAAACAACTACGGGGTTGCCCAGAGAGCTTCCGTGGTTGGCCGGAGAGGTGAGTGGGGGAGGGGGAGTTCCATGGGGGGGGATGCAGGGACCCCCCCCCCTTTTCCTTTCATTTCTTAGGACTCTCCCGGAGAAAGATTTGCCCCTTTTTTATTCTGTGCTCTCCGATCAATCGAATTTATTCATTGGCATTTATTGCTATTTATTTTATTTTTTTTTATTTTTTATAAATTTTTACAATTTTACAATAAAAACCCCTTTCCCAATCCCTCCCCCAAACCCTCCCCTATTCTTCCCAGAGCTGAATACAGGGTTAACCAGAACTTAAAAGAAAAAAACTTTTAAACTCAATAAACCTCAAACAAATATGATTACATTCAATAAACGAATTGTTAAATACTTTAACTCCATTATATATAAAAAACAGAAAGAGAAAAAGAAGAAAAAAAAAAGAAAATAAGAAAAATAATGAAAAGGAAAAAAAACTATTCTACACTTCTAAATAATATCTTAAACTTTAAATATAAATTATTCAAAGGCTAAATAATATTTTCTAATATCATACTTATATTGTATAAAATTTATCCATCTTTTCCACACCAAAAGATACTTCTCTTGCGATTGATCTTTCAAAAAAGCCGAAATTTTTGCCATTTCAGATAAGTAAGAAACTTTAAAAAACCATTCCTGCAAAGTAGGCAAAAATTCCTTCTTCCAATATTGTCCTATTAACAACCTTGCCGCTGTAATTAAGTTTAACATTAAAATAATTTCTTTGTCATCACAATCGGAAACAATACCCAACAAAAACAATTGTGGAGTAAATTTTATCCTTTTTAAAAATTCTTTGAATATTCCACCATATCTTAATCCAAAAAGCTTTTATATTTTTACATGACCACCAGATATGATAATACGTTGCATCCAAGCAACCGCATCTCCAACATTTAGGCTGCAAATTTGAATACATACGAGACATTTTTTGTGGATCAAGGTGCCATCTATAAAACATTTTATAGAAATTTTCCCGTAAATTTTGCGCTTGTGTAAATTTAACATTCCTCACCCAAATAATCTCCCATGTATCTAATGAAATTGGTTTATCAAAATTTTGAGCCCATTTAACCGTACAATCTTTAACTAGTTCTGCTTCTGAATCCAATTCCACTAATACACCATAAATTCTTTTTATATGGGTTCGACTTTGATCTCTAATTTGTTTTAGCAAGTTCTCATCCTCTCTAAATAAACCCACTTTATAATCTATCTTCCACCTTTCCAATAATTGTCTCTACTGAAACCATGAATAATTAATATGTTCTTGTGCTAATTCATCTATGGATTTTAATTGCCAATTTTTACCATCCCACTTAAGTAATTGTATATAAGAAATACTATCCATCTTTACTCCTTTCCTTATTCCTTCTATTGCATGCCATGGAATAGCCCATAATGGAATTCTTGAGTCAATTCTATAATATTTCTTCCAAACCCGAAGTAAAGAAGTTCTTAAAATATGAGACTTAAAAACCCTGTCAACCTTTTTATTATAAATTAAATAGGCATGCCATCCATATAATAAATCCCACCCCTCCAAAAGGAGTATATCTACATTTGTTAAATTAACCCAATCACTGATTAGTGTTAAAACCACAGCATCATAATACAATTTCAAATTCGGTACCTTGAGTCCACCTCTCTCTCGTATATCTTGTATAATTTTAAGTTTTACTCTTGGTTTTTTCCCTGCCCAGATAAATTTATTGATACCTTTCTGCCATTCATCTAGATTTGCTTCTTTCTTCAAAATAGGTATCATTTGAAATAAAAAAAGAAACTTTGGCAAGACATTCATTTTAATCGCTGCTATTCTCCCCAATAGGGACAATTGCAGCTTTTTCCAATTATCTAAGTCCTTTTGTATTTTAAACCACAGCCTTTCATAATTATTTTTGTACAGTTTTGCATTGGAAGCAGATAAAATAACCCCCAGATATTTTACCTTATTAACAACCTCGAAACCTGTCAGTCTAACTAAGGTCTCCTTATCCAAGTTGGTCATGTTTCTTGACAATATTTTAGTCTTATTGTTATTAATCTTGAAACCTGAAACTTGTCCAAACTGATTTATCAATTGTAGCAACTCCATTACAGAATAAGTTGGTTGAGACAAAGTAACAACCAGATCATCTGCAAAAGCCCTTAATTTATAATCATTTTTGTTAATTTCTATTCCTTTTATTTTAGGTGATTCACGAATTTTGATCAGTAAAATTTCCAAGGTTAAAACAAACAGCAAAGGCGACAATGGACAACCCCGTCTGGTCCCCTTTTCAATTGGAAGTACCTCTGATAAACCTCCATTAACTATAAGTTGTGCCATTTGTTTTTGATAAATGGCTCGAAGAGCCTGTAAAATTTTATCTCCAAAATTCATTTCCTCAACCAATCTTAACATAAATTGCCAATTTAACTGATCAAAAGCTTTTTCAGCATCTAGAAATATCAATCCTGCAGAAATCTGGTTGTTCTTATCCAAATATTCTATTAAATTAATAATTTGTCTAACATTGTTCTTCATATATCTTCCAGTTATGAAACCAGTTTGATCCATATGTATTAGTTGATTCAACACAGTCATAAGTCTGTTAGCTAGAATTTTCGAAAAAATCTTGTAATCTACATTCGAAAGAGATATAGGTCTATAATTTTTTGGTAGAGTAAGATCTTGGTCCTCTTTTGGGATCAAGGATATAAAAGCTCTACCCCAAGACAGGGGGGTCTCTGATCCCTGTAATATATTATTAAAAAGTTCCCTTAAAGGTTCTATCATCTCTTCTATCAAAGTCTTATAATAAATTGATGTCAGTCCATCAGTACCTGGTGCTTTACCTACTTTTAATTGTTTAATTGCTGTAACAATTTCCTCTATAGTAACCAATCCATTAATTTCTTGTTTCTGATCTTCTGTTAACTTAGGAAAATGAGCATCTTGTAAATAATTATCTATATCTAAAGCCTGTACTTTCCTACCCATATATAATTTTGTATAATAATCTAGAAAAGATTTCTTAATCAATTCCTTCTGATATACCAATTTACCATTATGATTTATTTTATCTATAATTCTCAACTTCTGTTTCTTTCGCAATTGGTAAGCCAGCCATCTCCCTGGCTTATTAGCGTTACAAAATGTATTATGTTTCATATAAAGTAAATCGGCTGCAGTCTGATCCGCCATTAACATATTAAATTGCGTTTTAAGCAAATTTATAGATTCTTTAACCTTCTCATCTGTAGGATTCAAAATTAGAGCTTTTTCTTTTAATTTAATCTCATCTTCCAACTCCTTACGTTTTTGCACCTGTTTCTGTCTATAAGCCTTATTCATTTGTATCAGAACCCCGCGCATATAAGCTTTACTTGCATCCCATACCATTGCCATTGAAGTTCCCTTATGCATATTTAAAACAAAATATTCCTTTAAAGACTCTTTAAGTTTCTGAACATTCATTTCTTGTCTAAATAAATTTTCATTCAACCTCCAAAATCTCCTCTCCTCTTTTTCAGTAGCCAATTCCATCCACACTGGGCTGTGATCTGTCAGTGTCCTTGGAAATATCTTTGCATTCTTTACCCTAAAATATAATTCTGTTGTAATAAAAAAAAAAGTCAATTCTTGAAAAAGATTGATGTCTATCCGAAAAAAAGGTAAAGTCTCTCTCTTCCATATTATGTTCTCGCCAATAATCTCGCAACTCCCAGTCCTCTTTCAAATCAAAAAAGGCCTTAGGTAATTTAGCCTGTTTAAAAGAAGTAGAAAATCCTTTTTTATCTCTATATGTGTCTATAACTCCATTCCAATCTCCCATTAATATAACAGATCTATAATCCAATAGAGTCAGTTTTTGATGTAACAACCTGTAAAATTGTTCTTGTTGTTGATTTGGGGCATACAAACCTACTATAAGTATTTTCTTCCCATACAATCCCACTTCAATCATTACATATCTCCCTTGAGGATCAGAGTCTACTAAACAAACTGATAAATTTTGCTTAACATAGATGACTACACCCCCTTTTTTCCCAAGAGATTAGATACTTCTAATCCCTTCACCTCCCTCCCTCAAAGCAGGGATCTTTATGGCGTAGTAAGATATAACATCACCCTTAAATAAAAATGTATAAAAAATAAGGTTAAAAAATAAATTATCTTTAAAAGTATGAAATTCTACAAGGATGACAATGAAACATGCCAAAGGGAAGAAACAGATCCCTCTCCTTCCCATCCCTCCCATCATCTTCCTTCTCTTCCCAGGGTCCAAAGTTTCCCCTGCCCCAAAAAACTTCTTTCCAGAAAATTATACCAAATATTATATTTTTAGGGGGGGGGGGAGGAATCCAGCAATGTCTTGCCCACTATATAGCTATATTTCAATATAATCCATATGCTATATAATATTTCAATATACTATTTTATATTAATAAATCAATAATATTTCTTTATTGATTTACTTATCAACTTTTAAAACCATCTCTCTCTCTAACAGAACGACTTTTCTTGGTATACACATAAAATATAAAACCACCAAAATAATCTATAGAATTTAAGATTTAAAAGGCAGGAATGATTAAAATCCAGTGATAAACATTCCTTAAAGGGGGGGGCTTCAGGAGGCTGACCAGCCCCACAGCTGCCTCCTCCTCCTCTCTGCCCCCCCCCAAGCAAAGCCCCAGCGCCCCCATTTCACCCCTTTCCGGAAGGCCAGGAGTGGGGGAGGGGCTCCCTTCACCTCTGGGGCCTTTGGGATTTTAGGATAAAAAGTGAACTTCCAAAGGTCTGGAAAAGGGAATCAGGAAAGGCTCTTTCGTCTGCTGGGCCCTATCCCTCTTTCAGTTCTTTTGATTCTTTATTCAGAGTCATTTGTTCATCCAATGTTGGGGGTCTGGGAGAAAAGCCCCCCCCCAAACCCCCTTTTTGGTCAGAGACTCAGCTTCACCTGCAGCCGAATCGCTTCCCTCTTCGTATCTGGGAAGGTTCCTCATTTGGGGGAAAAGATTCAAAAAACCCCCACAAACATTAAAACTGAATTTCGGGCATTCGTTCAGCCCTGAAGTCTCAGATTGTTTAGTTCCCTGTTCCAGATTCCTGGCAAATTGCCTATGTTTGTTGGTCTAGTTTTATTTGTTTATATTATTATTATTTATTTCTATCAACTGATAAGGTTTCATGGTGCAAAACCAGTGTTTCATGTGCAGTTGTTGCCATTTGTTGTTGCCAGGATATCGAAAAATAACACGCTACCAAAGAATTAAATAAGGTCTTTCTTCCACGAGAGAAAAACCACCAAATCCCAAGAGAAAAAGGCATTTTACGGGGAGATGCTGGGCATCTGCTCCTTCCAGAAATTATGGAATATTTAAGGGGAACTGACACAGATTTTGTTCTCCGTATATTCAGTCTGGAATTTATTTTTACTCCTAAATTCTTCCCTGCAAACCTAGGAGGATAATTAACTGTTCATAAAAAAATCCCGACCGGATCCCAGGATTAAATTACAAATAACCAAACCTTTAAAAATTGCATGTTCTTAAACTTTATATAATGAGCTGTTCATAAGAGAATCTCTCAACGGAGAGAAAGTTGCTAGCAAAAGTTCTCTGATCTGGAGTGGATCTAAGAAGGACCCTCTTGGGGAGCTCACTCAGCCCACCTCCCCATTAATCCACCCAAGAGTTGTGCCATTTGCTGAAGGAGATCAACAGGGATCTCTTCTGTGGTCCTGGGATCTGCCTGATCTCCTCAGCCACCAACTGCCCCCACCTTCCCTTACCTCAAGATCCCCCCCAGATCCTTTCCGCCCTCCCTGTCCGGAATGGGGCAACTCACTGCAGGACAATTCAACAATTTTGTTCAATTATTTAAAATAATTTTTAAAATGTTTTTTTTTAATTTTTGTCCTTCACATTCCATTTTTCTCCTCTCTCGGCCTCCTTCCTTTCCTGATTCTCTTTCTCCATTTCTTCCATATTGTGTAACTTTTGTGCTGCATTGAGTTGGCTGAGTTGTCCTAGACCCCTCCCTGCCCCCCATCCCAGGCAGAAGGGTCGGACCCCTCCCCACCTCCCTCCCCAGGGGAAATGGGGCTGGGAGGGAGGCCGGAAGCTGCAGGGAGAGGTTGGGGGGGGAAGGAATCTGGGCAGAAAAAAACAAAGGTTCAAGTACAGATTAGGCGAAATCTGGCTCAAAATCAGGGGGTCCCCATGGGGAGCCTCACACTGGAGGTAGTTGTTGAATTCAGAGGCAATCCCCCCTCCCCCCTCACACCTCCTGTTCCTCCCCATCTTTTAACTATAATTTTATCTTGACTGGGAATTCCATTTTGATTGCTACAGAAATATTTATCTGTTAGGATTTTAATGTTCTAATGCTGTAAGCCAGGGCTTTTCAACCTTTTCACCGACTGTACCACTTTTAGGATATATGGCAATATTTGAGTACCACCTACCAAGATGTCAAACACTTGATGACCAAAAAAAAAAAAAAAAAATCTGTTCAAAGATGCAATTGCACTGAAATGACTTATGACCATTTTTCACACTTATGACCATTTCAGTGTCCCCAGGGTCATGTGTGATCTATATTTGGATGCTTGGCAACGGATTTCATATTGATGATGGTCACAGTGTCCCAGGGTCATGTGATCCCCTTCTGCAACCTTTTGACAAGCAAAGTCATTGGCAGGTGGCCAAGTGCTAAGGCGGGACTTCCTTCCCTCCCTCCCTCCTTCCCTCCCTCCCTCTTTCTCATTCCCATCTCCTTCTGAAGGAAGAATTTGACCCCCCCAATTTCCCTTCTTCCATATATTCATTGAACAAGGAAAAGCCGACAGAGACAGAAAAGACAAGCCATTGCGGGAACTAGCTTTAAAAGGCGCATTCCCCTTTAAGAATTAGCTACTGGCTAAAAAGGAAAGTTAAGGACTGTAGTTGGTACTTAAGGAAGAAAAAAAATGTAGTAAGTATGGCTGCTGGCTAAGGCAGCCTCCCTAAATGTCTCCATTTGTAAGTACAGGCAAAATCCATTCAGGAGAAAAATACTTCAAAATCCCTTGCAGCAAAACTTACACCTAACAATAGCAAAGCAATAGAAGCTAACATGAGCCATCAGCCAAATAGAAATTGCCAAACACTCCTTAAGAACACAAAGCCCCCAATGAACAAATCCCAGAACTTCAAAGTCACAAAAGCACAAAAGAATCCTTCCACTCTCCATCTCCCTCCTTGCCTCACCTCCACCTGGTGTTGCCTTTCTTCATTGCTGCCTTTCTTTATTCCTCATGGAGAGCAACCCCTCCTCCCTACGTTCCTTGCCTCTTGGTTGCTGCCAGCACAGGTGGCTGCCACAGAAGTTGTAGATCCACTTGTGGTCAGCCTGCTTGATCTCCTCTCCTCTCCTCTCCCCCCACCCTCCTCCTTCTTTCCATTCTGTGCAGCTAGAGCTGACTCCTCCTCCTCCCAAGGCTGCTTCTTTTTCTCTCCTTCTCCCGACCCAAACTGCCTCCTTTTATAGCCTCTTCTGTCTCTGCACCCTCCTCCTCCTTTCTCATGGGGGAGGTGAGTGAGCCGGAAGTGAGCCTGGGGCCTTTGCCTCACCCCAGCCAGTCTGCAGCTCCAGAGGACTCTCTCACAGTAAGTCCTTGCCTGCACTGGCTCGTTCCCTCCCCCACTACACTTGGCTGGGCAGGGCAGCATACCATCTGTCATGTGCTCATGTACCACAGGGGGTACACATACCACCTGTTGAAAAGCCCTGCTCTAAGCTGCCTAGAGTCATTTTATCATGAGATTGTGTCAGACAAATTTAATAAATAAATAAATGTTCCAGTATTCTACTTATTTTTTAAAAATGTGGTTTTGTTTTGAATGGGATCCCTGCAATTCTCCAAAACATGCTGTGTGTGTCTTTCCCATCTTCTGGGTCTCTTTCCATCTCCCAAACATCTGGCAGAAAATTCCTTCTGTTCCGGGGCGTTTCCAGTATTTATTCCTGTTGGACTTGCGCAATTTGATGATGGAAACTGATCCCAACCAGGAACGATTTATGTTTTTCCATCTTTCAGGATCCCATTTAATTTCTTGTTGCAATTTGCTTTGGAAATGACTTAAAAAAATAATATTTTCAGGACTGAAAAGGGCTCTTGGCCTGAACTAAGTAACTTGGTCTCCTGTTCTGGCCCCTCCTATGTCTCCCCCCATGTCCCTTCTCCCCCTCCCCCTCCTCCCCTCCAGCCAAGCCCACCATCTCCATCTCCCCCACCAAGCTGGACCCCGCTTCCCCTAACACCATCCTCCTCTGCATCGTGAGGGGCTTCTATCCCATGGAGATCGAGGTCCGGTGGCTGAAGAATGGGCAGCCAGAGAAGGAGGGTGTGGCCTTCGGGGAGGAGCTCCAGAACGGAGACTGGACCTACCAGCTCCAGGTGACGCTGGAGCCCCAGCCCCAGCGGGGGGACGTCTACACTTGCCAGGTGGAGCATGCCAGCCTGGAGGCCCCGATCACCGTCCAGTGGGGTGAGCCCCTCCCCTCCCCCTCTGGGCACCCCCTCCTGCCCTGAGAAGGGGCAGAGACCCTCCCTGTGGGGGGAGCTGAGATGGACCCTCCTGGGGGGGAAGCTGGCCCTGATCCCCCTGCTCAGTGAGGCTCCTTCTCCTTCCCCAGAGCCCCGATCCTCCAATTCTGCCAGGAGCAAACTCTGGACAGGGATCGTGGCAGCCGTGATCGGGGTGATCTTCTTTGCCATGGGGCTCTCCCTCTACCTGAAGAGCAAGAAAGGTGAGTCTGGGGGGGGGCTGGATGAGAGATTGTGGGGAGGGGACCATCCAGGGGGGCCTCTCAGCAAACTTAGCAGATGGCAAGGAGGCCCCCTTGGAGATTTGCTTGGGAAATTCTGTTCTTTGAGAGTCTACTGTATAAGTGAGCATTCTGCAATCTATTATGGGCTATCGATGGGGAGGGGAGGCTGAGTCCTCCAACCCATGAAGGGTCCTGATTGGCTCTTTTTCTCCTTCCAGCAACTCCCATCCAGCCACCTGCAAGTGAGTTTCTCCCCAAGTTATAGATGTTTCTTTAACATTCGTTAATTGTTCCTTTAAAAGAAAAATGTGCCCGAACAAAACATCCTAGATGTGGATAACATAAATTTTTGAAATTTTGGGCAGCTTTTCATTACAGAGACCTGAAAACAGTGCAATGAAAAACAAACACACACACATAAACACTAAAATCTGGCCCAGGAGGTTTCCAGGTTTTGGGAAATTGCAAAGGAGAAAGGAAGTCTCCTTGTGACATTTCACACAATTTCTGGCAAAGTGACACCTAGCTTTGCTTCCACCCCTCCCCCATCCTGGCCCCATCATCTTTGTTAATATGAAACGTCTGGGGGGGGAGGCCTCATCTTGATTAACTCCCTAATTAAGCCAATTAGAGAAAATTCCATCAGCCCCTGAAGGTGAATTGCTGGTCCTTTGCATCCTTTTCCTCCCTGAAAGGGCGGGGGGATTCTCCCTCATCCTGTCCCTGCCTATCAACCACCCCCCTGCAGTGTGGGTCTTCCTGGGGAGGCTGTAATAATAATATGTTATTTACCCTGAAGGTTTGTATTCTAATCTTCTTCCTCATCTCTTTTTCTTCAGCACTTGTGAATTAATCCTGCCGTCCTTCCTGATTCCTGATGGGAAAGGAAGTTTTTTTTTCCCAGTAGCTGATGAATTTCTGTCTTTCTTGCAATGTCTGAAAAATGGAGGCTCAAGATTTTAGATTGGGGAGAGGAGGAGAATGGCAGCCTGGAGCTTCTGCTGCTGAGACCCCTCTGGCTTTCCTTTCAGGGCCTCCCTTTCTTGGTAGGGAGGAAGGGATGTCTGTCACTCCAGACATCCAACTATGCTTTGAACCCACAGCAGCTTCATCTCCATCACTCTTCCTCCGAATCCCTTCCCTTCCCTTTGCAGTAAAAGAATAAAATTTAGATTGTAGGAAAATGCAGGAATTTTTCCTTTCTTCCTCTTCCTCCTCCTCTTTCCTGCCCCTCAGGAGAGTCCCCCCTTCTCCCCTCCCCATCCCCAGATTGACCATCCCGCCTAGTTTAGGCCTGAAAGGAGTAGATTAGTAATCAGAAATCTCTAATGAGTCTAAAGGTGGACAGAAAAAGCCAACTGAAAGTCATAAATTCAGGCAAATAAGAAAAGCAGAGGTTGCTAGCTAACTGAAACCGCAAGAAGAGGAAACACAAAAACTAAGGATAAAGTTTAGAGCTTAAGGCAGCAAAGGCATAACCAGAAACAACTGTAGAGATCATTATAAGAATTGAGCTTTGTTTACAGAATATTAGATGGTGATGGATAGAATGTGCACAAAGGAGCTTCCTGGAATGTGGGGAGGGGGACAGTGGTTTTAGGAGGTCCGGATAGTTTATCGGATGATTAGGGAAGGGGCGTTAAGTGTGATAGGGGAGGGGGGAGTCTGCCTCGGGGGTAGGATATAAAAATGTGTGAAACAGCTCTTGAGGGTGTGGCTGGACTTCTCCATCTGTTTCAGCTCACCAAACTGAAGCAAATGCTTCTTTTGAAATAAAACTATGTTGCTGGAATTCCAAGTGAGTTTGTTTTGGGATCTTGAGCCACGCTCCAAACAGGCCCGAAGCCAGAACAAGTTTGAGAATAGGGTGGGCAGATCCCAGGGAGGGGAAGGGGCAGGGCCCCCCTCCTCAATCTCCTTAAGCCCTGCCAGATGGGGGGACCCCTTGGAGACCACCTATTCCTGCTTCCCCTGGAGAGCCTCTTCCATGGCTGGGAAACTACTGGAGCTGGTGGTCTCTCCAGGATTGGAGCCAGTTTGAGCCCCTCACAAGCCAGGGAGGCTCCCTCCCAATTCACACCCAGCACCTACCCACCTCCCTTCCTCCCTCCTTAGTTGGAAAGTTGCCCTGGAGGGCAACAAAGAAGGAGGGAAGCTTCGGGAGTCTGGACCAGACGGTCAGTTCAGACGGACTGAAGAAAGCTTTCTGAAGGACAGAAGAAAGGCTGCCTGGTAAGCACAGGCAGCCCAAGTCATCGTCAGCTGAAAAAAAAAAGCGAGGAGTCGCGGTGCTCCACCAAACAGCTGACTGTCAACAGCGTGCTGAAACTGGGTGAGTCTGTTTTTTTTATTCCTTTTCCTTAAGGACTCAGAAATACTGATCCCCTGATAAGGAAAAATCTACAAAGTAAAGACCCCAGAAAGTCTAGGGGAGAAGAGAGGTAAAAGTGGCGAGCAATTACAAGAGGGGGAAGGAATTTAAGGAATATAAAAGAATACTTAAAAATGGAATATCGTGGAAAATCTTTTTAGATTTAATTTCCAGGGTAAATAAATTCCAAAGAACTTTAAAAGAAAACTTTTTAACAGTCTTTTAAAACCGGATATAGACAATACAGTGTATGAGAACATCTAGTGGTAAAAGGAGATACTACAGTAATACAAAATGATAAAAGAATTTGAAAAGTGTTTTACCTTGAAACAACACCTGGTGTAAACAAAGTGCCTTTATATGACTGTGCATGAGGAAAGACACTCTAGAATTATATTTGTTGACTATAGATATAACTAAAACAGGAATTATTTGGATACAGCAGGCATTTTATATTTGTGATTTGACTGGAGGATTTGGATTTAGCCTAAAGTAGTTAGCTCGATTTTATGGTTGGGTTTTAGCCTAAAACAGTTGGCTTTTTTTTCTTTTTTCTCTCTTTTTTTCTCCTAGAGAATTTGTATCTAGCCTAAAGTAGTTGGCTCTTTTCAGTGTTTGGATTTTAGCCTAAGATAGTTGGTTTGAAAAATGAGTACATCAAATCTCACTAGACTTATGATATAAACTTCTTCTGCACCTTCTGTCAGAACATTTAACCCAACAAGCCAGGGATCTATTGAAACAATGTTGCAGCATGAGAAAATAAGCACTGCTCAAACTGAAATGCAAACCACATTAAAATTAATTCAAGAATCAATACAGAGAAATCATGAAGAGACAAAAAGTAATTTTGATAAATTAAACAAACAAATGTTGGCTATAAAGACACAATTTGAAGCCCATCAGCAAATGATTGTTAAAAATGAACAAAGAATTCAGAAGATGGAAAATAAATCAGATGATATTGACGTAAAAATGGAAGTACTAATATAAGAAAATGAAAAATTAGAACAAGCAAATCAAAACCTAGAAGGTGCTGTGCCAGTTTTAGAAATGGAGAAAGCGGAACACTATTTAAGATTTCAAATATTCCTGAAGACAGAGAAGAAGATATAGCAGTTGTGATTATTATAACCAATAATAACCAATAATAATGGATGATTAGAAGTTACCAGCCTAAGAAAAAAATTCACAATCATTCCCCTGATTTTGCCATTAGATGTTCCTTAGTGTTTAGATCTGGTCTCAGGATGATAATGTAGCACTTGGGGAAGAAGATGCAGCTCAATAGTCCAGCACCGGAGGCCAAGATGGAGAAGACCTGCACAGCCACCATGTATTTTCCTTTAGTGCTCAGATAGGTGGGGAGGAAGGAAATCCAGACACTGCAGAAGACCAGCATGCTGAAGGTGATCAGCTTCGCTTCATTGAAAGCTCCAGGAAGGTTCCTGGCCAGGAAAGCCACAGTGAAGCAAATGGCAGCAAGGAAGCCCATGTAGCCAAGGACAACATAAAACATGGTGACAGAGCCTTCATTGCATTGAAGGATAATCTCATCAGGCTGGGAGTGCAGATCAGAGTCAGGAAATGGGGGAGAAACTCCCAACCATATGGCACAGATGAGAATTTGGACAGCAGAACAAGCAATGATGATGGAGTTGGCCAAGCTCTTCCCCAACCATCTTTTCACTTTATTGCCTGGTTTTGAGGCTAGGAATGCCAGCACTACTGTGATAGTTTTGGCCAACACAGAAGACACGGCTACTGAGAAGACAATGCTGAACACTGTTTGTCGGAGAAGGCAGGTGGCTTTCCTTGGTTGGCCAATGAAGAACAAGGAGGATAAGAAGCAAAGCAGAAGGGAGACCAGGAGGATGTAGGAGAGGTCCCGGTTGTTGGCTTTGACAACAGGAGTTCCAAGATATTTAATGAATATGATTAAAACAAAGCCTGTGTTTAGGAACAAGAGTAGAGCAAAGGAGATGAGGATGATGCTGAGATGTTCTTCATAGGTCAGGAAGGTGATTCTTTTGGAAATACACTGGATTCGGTTCTCAGTTGGATATTGATCATCTGGGCACTTGGTGCATTTTTTGTTATCTGAGAAAACAAAGTAATATTTCTTTTATAGTCTTTCAAATTTCAAGAGAAACTTTGGATAAGATGTGATACAGAAAGATAGAAAAGTCTCAGTAAATGGAATATACTTACACTATAACAGCAAAAAAAAACAAAAAAACCAATATATACAACTATAAAAAGAGCAATAACAACAACATAAATTTAAAAGAAAATCTATCTGGTGCTGCAACCTCACTTCTTTGAGGTAATCCACCAGATTCTTATTCCGCACTGACCTTACCTTATCCCAAATGATTGGAAGAAGTAGCAAGTCTCCATTGATTTAAGAAGATGGGGGCCTATTCAATTTTAAGGGGGAGTAAGTCCAATAGGGCAGGAACTGTAGCAGAAAAGGCAGGCTTGTGATGATCCATAAAGTGGGAATCTTTTAGGGAACACATCATTTGAATGCTAATTATATCTGCTCTGGTGGCACAAGCGGATATCCTCAAGCAGAGGAAACCCTGCAGATACCCTGGTTCTGTCTCATGGAGGGTTTGAAAGGTGAATTTAATTGTACCTGAAAAGAAACTGGGATTCTGTGGAGCCTACATAGCAGGGATGTCCTATGGAAGAACACATGGAAACTCAACACTGTGCATGCCTTTGCATTCTGGACTGTTTTATAAATTCCAGGTGGTTTTCAAGAGCAACCCTATGAGTATGGGATAAAAAGATAGAAACAGAAAACTGATGGCAGAAAAAGACCTAATCTAGTCTGCCCTTTGATTTTTTTGTTTTCTTATTTAATGTTTTATTTCATTTTTTTTTTCCAAAAAGAATTTCAGATGATGGAAGTATGTTTATCCCCAAAATCTTTAAACTCACTTACTGATGATTGACCCTCCAACCATGCTCTCAATACACTGCTCCAAAAATACTGGACAGAGGATAAAGGTTTTCTAACATGGTTGGATCCATGGAGAACCACTTGAAAAGGGTTGCAACACTGACTATTTCAGGACAGGCTGTACAGCCCCTTCCCCCCCCAAAAAAGACAAATAAACAAACAAAAATAACCCATTGACTATCCTGAAATTGAGAGTGTCTCCTAACTATTAGGCCTTGTAGAAATTTCTGAAAATGTCATTCTTTCAATGTTCCTGGGGATCCCCTGGTAACAGGGCCCCGTGTGTTGGTTGCATGGTAGGTAGCATCTTGATGTACTCCTCTCTTGTTTTCTTAGCATTTATACCTCAATGTTTTAATTTTTATTATTGGTTTGATTGTATTCCAACCAAGAGTCACTTTGTGTGAAATAGCCATATAAACTTGATAAACAAATTTGAAAAAAAACATCTTAAAGAAGATTAATTCATAAATAAATTCAACAACAGGAACTGTATTTTTTACACTGTAAAAATGAGAAGATGAAGCAATACGTTTCTATATTCTCTCGATTTGGCAACAATTTTAAAGAGAATGAATTCAACTTTGGTATCAAAGGATATTTAGTAATTGGTCTTTTATTAGTCCTCTGTTTCCCCCTTCTTTCTGCTCATTTTAATCCCAACACTGAATGTTAGAATTATTTTTTATCTTACTAAAGATTAACTGATTAAATGAATGATTGATCGATGCATCTATCAGCCTGTAATGTAAAGTTGGTTTAGGTAAACAAAACCCATTGATCTAAAATCATTCCTCAAGTTACAAATATTTGTAGGAAAGATAAATATGGATGGAAACATC